CCCTTGTTTCCTGTGCACACATGCGATGTCCCTTGTTTCATGTGCACACATGCGATGTCCCTTGTTTTCTATGAATGCATGTGATGTCCCTTGTTTTCTGTGCACACACGTAATGTCCCTTGTTTCCTGTGCACACATGTGATGTCCCTTGTTTCCTTGCACACATGTAATGTCCGTTGTTTTCTGTGCACACATGTGATATCCCTTGTTTCCTGTGCACACTGTGATGTCCCTTGTTTCCTGTGCATGCATGTGATGTCCCTTGTTTCCTGTGCACACACGTAATGTCCCTTGTTTCCTGTGCACACTTGTGATGTCCCTTGTTTCCTGTGCATGCATGTGATGTCCCTTGTTTCCTTGCACACACGTAATGTCCCTTGTTTCCTGGGCACACACGTAATGTCCCTTGTTTCATGTGCACACACGTAATGTCCCTTGTTTCCTGTGCACACACGTAATGTCCCTTGTTTCCTGTGCACACATGTAATGTCCCTTGTTTCCTGTACACACATGCGATGTCCCTTGTTTCCTGTGCACACATGCGATGTCCTTTGTTTCCTGTGCACACATGCAATGTCCCTTGTTTCCTGTGCACACGTGTGATGTCCCTTGTTTCCTGTGCACACATGTGATGTCCCTTGTTTCCTGTGCACACATGTGATGTCTCTTGTTTCCTGTGCACACACGTAATGACCCTTGTTTCCTGTGCACACATGCGATGTCCCTTGTTTCCTGTGCATGCATGTGATTTCTCTTGTTGCAAACGAGCACATAAGATTTGCATCTGTTCCTGTACACACCTGGGGTTTCGCCTGTTCCCTGTGCACACATGTAATAGATGGATCAGTCCCCGGTTATAGATGGATCCAGCACTGGACACAGATGGATCAGTCACCGGTTTGGAAAAAAATGGATCAGTCACCGGTTTTAGATGGATCAGTCACCGGTTTGGAAATAGATGGCTCAGTCACCGGTTTGGAAATAGATGGATCAGTCACCGATTTTAGATGAATCGGTCACAGGTTTGGAAATAGATGGATCAATCACAGGTTTGGAAATAGATGGATCAGTCACCGGTTTTAGATGGACCAGTCACCGGTTAGGAAATAGATGGCTCAGTCACCGGTTTGGAAATAGATGGATCAGTCACCGGTTTTAGATGGATCAGTCACCGGTTTGGAAATAGATGGATCAGTCACCGGTTTGGAAATAGATGGATCAGTCACAGATTTTAAATGGATCAGTCACTGGTTCGGAAATAGATGGATCAGTCACCGGTTTGGAAATAGATGGATCAGACACCGATTTTAGATGGATCAGTCACTGGTTCGGAAATAGATGGATCAGTCACCGGTTTTAGATGGATCAGTCACAGGTATGGAAATAGATGGATCAGTCACCGGTTTGAAAATAGATGGAACAGTCACTGGTTTTAGATGGATCAGTCACCGGTTTGGAAATAGATGGATCAGTCACCGGTTTGGAAATAGATGGATCAGTCACCGGTTTGGAAATAGATGGATCAGTCACCGGTTTGGAAATAGATGGATCAGTCACCGGTTTGGAAATAGATGGATCAGTCGCCGGTTTGGAAATAGATGGATCAGTCACCGGTTTGGAAATGGATGGATCAGTCACCGGGAACAGATGGATTAAGCAATGGTACTAGGTGCGTTAATTTTGACATTGGTATCGAGAAGCCGATCGTCCAAAAAGCAATGGCAGATTACTAGACGTAAATTTGCCTAGAAAAACCACATTCAAAGACTGCTAGGGTTTGTTCTGCAACGTCCTGTAAAGGATACGCAACTAACATTGACTAAATGGATGAATGACCGGAAGTTGATGGACAAGTCACATGAAATGCATGTATCAGTCACCAAAAGTAGATGATTAAGTCACTAGAAGTAAGTAGATTAATAACTGGAAACAGATGGATTAGTCACTGAAAGTAGATAGATTAATCACCGGAAGTAGGTAGATAAATCACCGGAAGTAAATCAATCAACGGCAGTAGATATATCAAACACCGTAAGTAGACGGATCAATCCCTAGAAGTAGACAGATCAATCACCGGAAGTAGAGGGATCAATCGCCGGAAGTAGATGAATCAATCACCGGAAGTAGACAGATCAATCACCAGAAGTAGATGGATCAATCACCGGAAGTAGATGGATCAATCACCGGAAGTAGATGGATCAATCACCGGAAGCAGATGGATCAATCACCGGAAGTAGATGGATCAATCACCGGAAGTAGGTGGATCAATCACCGGAAGTAGATGGATCAATCACCGGAAGTAGATGGATCAATCACCGGAAGCAGCTGGTGTACATATATGTAGATGTGTGAGTGATGTGTGTGTGTATGAGTGATGTTTGTATGTGTGTGAGTGATGTGTGTATCTGAACAGTTTATTTGCTACGCCTGTAGTCTGGTAGAAAACGTCGCTTGTCGCTCGTATATAACAAGCCACCTTCCCTGTACCCTCAACAACGTTGTATGAGCGCCCCTGCCCGAGCTCCCCCCGCCCCAATCAACCGCCCCCTGTTGGTGCCCCAGCTCCTGACATGCTGACACCCCCCAGTAGCCGCTGACGTAATACCGCGCACACTTGTTCGGGGCGCTACCCGCCTCACTTGAGAAATATCTTAGGACGCCAGCTTGGGGAGTGGGGGAAAAAACTGAAATAAAGACAACATAGGCCCAGTTCTGGGAGTGGGGAAGGAGAAAAAAAAAAAGGGGGGGGGGGGGGAGACAATGTTATTTACTAGTTGCCAGTTGGGCCGAGTGGATTATATTGATTTCACCAAATTGGCATTATTTACAATCTCGCCCTTGAGAACTTTCGATTTTGGAAGCACGCGTGGACTGGCAACCGCCACCCTCCACCTGCAGCACACCGCCATTTTTTCCCTTCCTCGACCTTCATTCTTTGCCTCCATTTTCCTAATCCTCAATCTTCTTCGCTGTTTGTGTTTTTTGAGAACCCGCTTTCGTTCATTCCCACTGCCTGCGTTTCCTGTTTGTTCGAATTTTTAGATTTTCTTTTATACTTTCCTCATCTCTCAATTCTGCCTTCTGCAACCTCTTCATTAATTTTTTCAATCCCTCCGCTATCGTTTATTCATGATTTCGTCATGCCCGCAGCGAGGAATATACCCCACACCTTGTGTTCTGGGAGAGGAGGGAGAGTGGTGCTCCTAGCAGAGGGAATGTGTGCATTCCTTGGGGCGATACGTGGCCACACGTGCATACCCACACGAGTGAAACACAATCAGATAGTGTACAAGACATCGGTCCGAACAAGCATGTCATGAAAACAGCGCCCCCTGTTCGTCGAGGTGAGTGCGCGAGCACGTATCGTTTTACAAGACCTAAAACTTGTAGCTCAAACGTGCACCCCACTCCCGCTGACCCCCACTTTCGCTGACCCCCACTCCCGCTGACCCTTCATCGTCCACGGATTCGTCTTGCAGATCTGGTTTTATGGTGGCCACCGTCTTCTCCTGGCCAGTGTGTGGGCAGCGGAATGTCCTTGGATGCAAGCTCATCTCCCGGTGACACGGCCCCTATAAATCTTGGCCCCTGCCCGCTGTATTCTCTTGCTATATTTATAGATTGCTGCGAGCTGTCACTGATAGCCACGCCTCCTCTATCTTGTTGATTCTCGGCATACGCCAGCCCCTAAGAAACGGCCAAATTACTGGCGCATGGTTCCAGATAGGAGAGACACTTACCTCGGCCAATACCCCACCTGCTGGTCACAGGCTGGCCCTGACTGGCCGCTGCCCTGCTCCGCACACCAGATATTTGCTTGTTGTGGGGAGACCTTTCTCTCAATTCACAAGCGAGTTATTTGCACTCTAGCGCCCGCTAAAAACTCGGCCAAAATTGCCTGGAAAACTGCTCAAATTTGACTTCAATCGCTAAAAAAAGCTGGCCAATCGAATCGGGTGTGGAGAACCGGGCGCGCTGATTGGGCGCGCCCAGGTGATGGCGGCTTGCCCTGGAGGGAAGGTTGACAGCAGGCAAAGTGCACTCACAGATTGGGGAAGAAAACTGGAAAAAACGCACACGGAGAGAAAGATGGAAGAAAATTACGGAGAACAGGCCGAGGTATAAGTGCGGATGGGGGAGAGAATTAATGTAGTTCTGCAATGAATGTGTGCAGTTTTTGGCTCGTTTTTCTCTCTCTAGTTCTTGAAGATGGCTGAGGTATTGGATGTAAATAGTTTATCTGCAGCGCAGGGGGAGAAACCTGGCAAGATGGGGGGAAAGAAAGGATGGACACTAAATGACAACTTGACATAGTGGCATGACATTGGCATCCTCGCGTATGACACTGATGGAGAACTGCTGCACCAGGTCCGTAATCGGCCACCGATTTGCTGGTTTACCTATTCATTGCTTGATTGTCGTACAGCCTTGGGAGACTGCGTGGCTAAGCGTTGTCGCCTTCCCCAGCAAAAGTGTCCTTAGACCAGGTAGGGACTTGGTTTACTACGGGAGGTGAGGGGGGGGGGAGGGGGTGATAAGTCCTTGAGTGGGGAGGGAGAGGAGCGGGTGGGATATTTGAGTCGGCATATTCTATTTAAGGGAGGAAGACGGGGGGGGGGA